TACAAAGAAAACATAACTTTATATACATCTGTTTTAATCCATCTAACAATGCTATCAACTTGAGGTCTAAGATCTTCAAAAATTTTCCTGTTCCGAGCCATCCATAAGTGGTAAATGGTGTTCGCAAATGCAATTCGCTAAGCCTAATTTTGCCAAGATGTGCCTAGGTTCGTGACATATTTATTATGCACATAAATTCATAAGAATTCTATTCTTTACATGTCTTTTTATCGATACATCTATATCTCATGTGACATATTATGTGTTTAATGTTATATCTAGCATACTCGTAAAAACCCTTGGATGCTCCGTCTCTCACATACACAAAACTCTCCTCTCTATATATACCCATACAATTACTACTTACCATAAACAAAAATCTTGAAACACCTTCTTTCCCTGCCTCTCTCATACTCAAGCAATGGTCCTCAAAAGATTCCTTAAGAATCAACGTAAATGAAGAAATACATTATATTATTCGTTCTAGGCCTTGCATCATACGCAGCATTCTTTTTATTGAAACAGAATGATTTTGACAACAAAAGCTACGATGTTCGTATCGTCAACGGTTTCAGCAACAACTCGTCCTTGCCACTGGTCATCTGGTGCGGGGCAGACGACGGCAGCGACATTGGCGGGCGGGCGCTGCAGGAGCGCGATGACTATAGCTGGAGCGTCACAACTGGATTGTGGAAGACCCCACTGTATGTTTGCACCATGAAATGCGATGGAAAAAGGAAAACGTTTGAAGCATTTCGGGTAAACCGCGACAGATATAGGTGTGGAAATTATAGGCAATGCTTTTGGCTGGTCAAAGAAGATGGGTTTTATTTCAGTAATGATGAAATAACATGGAAAAAAGATTTTTCATGGATGTGATGAGATTTAGATGAAATGTTTTATTTCATTATCGATTGTATGAATTTGAAGCACTTCAAAACGAGAATTGATCCTCTCATTGATGTCATCTTCAAGAATTTTACAGTTCAAATTTTTAAGAACCAGAATTTTTGGATTCTAGCATGTTTAGCTTGTTGAACAAGACAAGTCAATTATTAATGTTTAGCACATTTAAACTGAACACGATAATTGTTAAATTGACTTCGTATTACTTTGGTAATCGAATTCAATATTACGTAATTCAGAGGGTGTTTGATATGAATTAAAATTAGATTTTTAATAGATTTTGATAGAAGTTTTTGAAATTTGTGGTTGAAAAGTTGTGGGACCCATGAAAGGGGTGGATAATATTGATTGTTTGACTTTAATTTGGATTAAAATCAAATTTTAATTCGAACCAAACATGAGCTAATTTAGGATGTAAAGCCCAGTTTGACAATGTTTTTTTATATATCGAATTCATTTTCAATCACACGTTCTCACACTAAAATATTTTACATATAAATCCAATCTTTTTCAACTTTTTAACTACACAATCTCAAAAAAAAAAAAAAATCACTACTCAAACTCATTTTTTCCAAAAAAAATTCATTTTAATCGTCGTCAAACCGTGGCAAAATGGATCGTAAATTGATTGAGAATGTGTGATTGAAAAATAAGAAAAAAATTTGAATTTGAGTTTAATATTATCTTATTGAAAAATGTGTGATTAAAAAAAAAGAAAAAAAAATGTATTTTCGAAATAATGGAAATCATACAAAAGCTCAAATAAAACATTTGGTGGACAAGAAATAAAAAGACAACTCAAAGTTACTTTTATCATTTAGCTAATTATAATTCATAGTGACCATCACTTTTCCAGTCGAACGATATATGCTTTTATCATATCTTAAAAGACTTTTGCAAGTTGGCCAAACGTGATTTGTAGATAAGTTAGTCCAATAAAGTATGCACGAGTGCCAAATTGTGCTTCAAGTACTTTTCATTCACATTGTGTTCCAAATTCTCATTTTGATGGTACCAAACGGGCTCTAAATATAAAAATAGAATGGTTTCCCAACAAAAATACTTTTTCAGGTTTCAATCATTTTACTTTTTAACCATCTTTTAGAAAATAGTCATTCTTTAAAGAAACACTAGTTGCTTTAAAAATTAAAAAAATCATTTGACTGGAAAACTTCACTGGAGACCTAGCCCCAATATATAAAACTATTATTCTAGTTGTACATATTGTAGGAAAATTGTTTCAATATTTGATACCGGATTCGCAGTAGCAGATTCAATAACTTTGAGTACAATGGATTCAAATATACACAACAGATATAATACAACAGCAGATTCGACAATATGTTAAATCGCAGTATAGTGTAACAGCTGATTTAAGCAGAACTAC